CATGCTGACAAATATGCACTCTCCTCCAGCAGAAGGCAGTTTCTGTGATGAGCATGGAAATGCCATAAAACCAGCTGTTTTTGCTGATTACAACAAGCACATGGGTTATGTGGACAAGGCGGACAGGATGGCAAACAGTTATGGCATCTGTCGTCGGACCTGGAAATGGACAAATAAACTATTTTTCCATCTCCTGGATCTGACGATTCTGAACAGTTATATCCTGTTGTCATCCTGTGGCGCGAAATTGTCACACAGAGATTTTCGTCTCGCCCTTGTGCGGAACATGCTGGAGCTTGTTGGAAGGGGTCCACCTCGCCCTCAACGGCCCAGGGGTCGACCCCCGGCTGTTAGATCGGAGCCATCTCGAATAGGGGAGGTCACAACACAACATTGGCCGACTTCCTCTACTTCGAAATTGAGATGTCGTATGTGTTCTTTGCGTGGGAAACGAAGAGGCGTCCGGACAAAGTGTGAGAAGTGCGACATCGGACTCTGCATTTCCGGATTTTTTTAGAATTCCACACGAAGGCAACATTCCGGCAGATGACGCAAGTGGGAAGACAGACACTCCATGCAGATGGTGGCCAAAAATTACGTAAGTACAACTTTATTTTCTATGTTAAAATTGGATTGTATATAATGTTCGCAAGCGCGGACTGTGCGACCAGGAGTCGAACCCCTGCCGTTTTATCGGAGATATCTCGATTATAGAAGGCCAAACCACATCACTGGCCGACTTCCTCTACTTCGCAATTGAGGTGTCGTGTGTTCTTTTCGCGTGGGAAACGAAAGACCGTCCGACCAAATTCCGTGAAGTGCGAAATCGGACTCTGCATTTCCGGATTTTTTTAGAATTCCACACGAAGGCAACATTCCGGCAGATGACGCAGGTGGGAAGACAGACACTCCATGCAGATGGTGGCCAAAAATTATATAAGTAGGACATTATTTTCTACCTTAAAAATGTATTTCAAATAACGTCCGCACGCGCGGACTGTGCGACCAGGGGTCGAACCCCTGCCCTTTTATCGGAGATATCTCGATTATAGAAGGCCAAACCACATCACTGGCCGACTTCCTCTACTTCGCAATTGAGGTGTCGTGTGTTCTTTTCGCGTGGGAAACGAAAGACCGTCCGACCAAATTCCGTGAAGTGCGAAATCGGACTCTGCATTTCCGGATTTTTTTAGAATTCCACACGAAGGCAACATTCCGGCAGATGACGCAGGTGGGAAGACAGACACTCCATGCAGATGGTGGCCAAAAATTATATAAGTAGGACATTATTTTCTACCTTAAAAATGTATTTTAAATAACGTCCGCACGCGCGGACTGTGTGACCCCATATGGGGCCATTCGTACCGCTGACTTTATTCTTGCGACCCCATATGGGGCCATTCGTACCGCTGACTTTATTCTTGCGACCCCATATGGGGGCATTAGTAGTTTAAAGGTTAAGATGAACAGCAAATAAACATTGTACGGACCTCTCAATAAAAAAGAAAGTTCCTGTCTGAGAAAAATGCAACATGACACTGTAACTTCTGCACAAACAACTCCCACATAACATTACAAATTGTTGATACCATACCATTTCTCTCCTCAGGCATGACTGTGTGGCATAGTGCCAACACACGAAAGAAGCTGTGCACATCACGATTGTTCCCCCGAACTGCATCCAATAGAGAGGAATCATAGAATCGAAACTCAGGTTCGTAGTTCTCATTCCAGGAGAAGTCCAATGCTGGTGTATTCTATCAAGAAACAGAATTACAACATGATAATGCTTAGAATGTGAAAACTCCACACCTTAATAATAGTATTACAGGTGGGATATAAAAGGGAGAAGACACCATTAAGCACTTACAGACAGAAACTAACACTGAATATTTTGTTAACAAAGAGGGGAACATTCATCTTGTCTCACTTACACCTTGTGTTTTCTACTTCTTAATATGCAGAGGTATTTTTTACATAAAAGATTTAAATACTTTAAAATTATCATAACATACCTGATGAAATCATCTTGGGCTATGAGATCCGTCAGCTGGTTAAAAATTACTAGGGTTTCATGAAACAACTCTGTCCCTATCATCAGACCCCATTAATATTGGTAATTTTTAACCAACTGACATGGCTAATAGCCCAAGAAGATTTTATTGAGTTCAGTCCCTGTGAAAGCTCCAGATCTTACATATCATACTTAATGGCCATAAGACATTACTATGGCCCACATGCACACACAGATGGGAGCTGGGGTGGCCCAGCTTCTTGCATATTTATTTTCACATATCCAGAAATCATGTGACACAAAGAATGTATCCATGCATGCCCTCAAACATACGGATTAAACAACTTCACTTCTTTATCTTTCTTCTTCTCATCTTCTGGATTAGTTTGCATTAATATCTGTGACAGAACACTGCAGTATTGTTTCTCCCATAAGATGGAATATTTTACATACATAGTAACAGAACTGTGTTTATGATCTAGAATCCTCAGCTTTACCAAAATGTATCTAATTGTGAAAGCAAGTGGAATTTTGAATAACTTGTAACAGTAAAGTTAAAGGTAAAGGTACAGTTGTTCCTGAGTTTAATTAAGTACCACACCATGAAGACATTTTGGGTACTGGAGGTATAGCTCCACCATTCTTAACCTACGCACAAGATGAAGGTGAGTGCTCAACTGCAAATCCCTGCTGCTTTACTCCTGGGAAAACAACCCCTTCTACCAACTGTATAAGAGGATGAGTGGTGAGTGGGCCTTGTAATTGGTCTGGATGTGATGGAGAAGCTAAAAGTCTTCTGCACCTGCCAGAAATCAAATCCTGATTCCTCAGTCAGGAATCAGGGATTTGATTCCTGGTGGGGGTAGAAGACTTATCTCTTCTCTGGTGCTCACAGTGGCTAACAGGCTGATTCAGCAGGGATATAGTGGTAGGGGCATGACATTGATAGTTCTGGTGCCCATGTTAAAATTGGCAGAGCTATACTTCCACTCCCAAAAACGTCTTCATGGTGTGGTGCTTAATTAAGCACATTACTTTTGGCTTTATCTTCATTGTTCCAAATTATTGTTAAAAAGTTTACTTACTTCACAATTTTAATAAAGCTGAGCATTCTGGGCAATAAACAAAAATCTTTTACTACTTATGTAAAATATTCCTTCTTACAAAAAAAGAATAAGATACTGCAATATTCTCTCAATAGTTTTAATGCAAATAAATTCAGAAGATGCAAAGATGGAAGAGGTATTATTTCATGAATACAGAATACTGAGATGAAGAAATTTTGCTACACATGGATCTCTTTTATAAAGACTGTCACGTGACTCACATTTAAATCACTACTTTATTTCCTTCATTACTCATATTTTTAACACCACATTCAAATGCTTGAGCTTGGTTCTCCTTATCAGGCCTTCTACTGTGACAGAGTAGGGCAAAAATAAGATCTAAAGTTTGTGATGACGGTACATTAACGTAATTACCGACTCTTTGGGACATATCCATCTTACTGTTTTTAAATACAAAATAGGACTATGTATAATGTTCAGAAAGTCAATAACTGTTTTAGGTCAAGGATACCCTAACCACTCAAACTTTTAATGCATTATTTGCATGATATGTCTGTCAAATCCATACATTTCAGGTACAGGACAGTTACATGAATTTTGATATGCATACAAGGTGTGGCAATAAAGAACCCGGATTACTTTTATGACTCATTTCCGGCCACGTCATTGACGAAGAGGAGGGTAGGGCATTGACCCTTGGACTTCCCTCTACCGTCACACAAAGTTTCATTCACGTGCATCGGTTAGTCTGGCCGCGACCATTGTTAGAAGCGGATCGTGTTTCTGAGCTCCGTCGGAATAATGCTGAGTGCTAATGCAGAACAACGTGCTAACATCAAATTCCTCACAAAACTTGGAAAATCTGCCACTGAAACTTACAATTTGTTGACAGAA